GGCACCATCAGCTTTCTTTACCAAATTTGCTTATGCACCCATTTGTCTTCAGTGATCATGTCAGGAAAGTGAGGATCATCCATTGCCACATTATTAGAAACAATTGTTTTTGTACAGAGGTAAGATTTAAGTAGAGGTCCAAAGTCCATCTGTTTCCTTGTTGCATTTACATATGTACATGCATAAACAAATATATATTCACATATGTATATTTATACATAAATGCGCGCACACACAAACACACACACATATATGGTTTTGTTTCTCCCTCCTACTCCACTACTATGCTTGTCTGTTGCTCACCTCTCAGCAATTATTCTCAGGTACAATTCGATTTATCAAATATGACCAAAAAAGCCACACCCTCCTCATGGTCCATTTAGAACTCTTACTGTTCCCCTGGACCTGTCATTGTTGGCTCTCCACTCCCCTCCCCGCCCCCTTCTCCCCTCCCATACCCCTCAAGAACTGTTAATCCAACCACCGCCTCCTTAAGACTGCCCATCCTGTTTTCTTGTATAGATCAACACCAAAAAACTAAAATAATAATAATAATCATAATACAACAAAAAACCAAACCAAAACAAAAATAAAGGACAAAGAAAAAACATCTATATACAGATATCCACCAGACGAACAGGGATCATGACATAGAGCCATATTCTTGTTGAAAAGTCCAGTTTCCCAGAAGTCCCATGGTGCTTTCAATACCCTTCATAGCATCATCATTCCAAGGTATAAGGGTTTTGTTTTTTCTAGTCTTCCATATTTACTGTCCAATTGTAGTATGCATCTGCGGCAGTTGAAAACACCATGGCTTGGGTCAGGTCCACAACAGTCCTCAAAGTGACATCTCTGCTTTTCAACACTTTAAAGCAGCGTTTCTCAATCTGTGGGTCAGGACCCCTTTGAGGGTTGAATGGCCCTTTCACAGGGGTCGCCCAATTCATAACAGTAGCAAAATGACCGTGATGAAGAAGCAACAAAAATGATTTTATGGTTAGGGGGTCACCACCACATGAGGAACCTGTATTAAAGGGTGGCGGCATTAGGAAGATTGAGAACCACT